CAGTGTTTTTTTTAATGAGCAATATTTAACGGAAAAATAAATTTAAAAAAATTGTGAAAAAAAAATTTGGGTTTGGATCATAAATTCAGTTTCTTTGCTTATTTTTAAATATTATTGTGAAAATGGGTTCTATATTTAGCTAAAAAAGTTAGCAACTTTTCTCTCTAAATCTGAATTAGTAGAATTCTACTAAGGAATAGTAAAATTTGACTAATTTTTAGTAGTTTTCATGGACGACTTTTCCCCTTTTAAATTAGTAGAATATTACTAATTCTTAGTAAAATTTTACTAATGTTTTAGTAGAAATTCACTAATTAAAAGTCACTCATTTCACTAAATGAATTAGTAAAACTGTTTTATCGACTATTAATAAAACAGTTCTACTAATTGTTAGTAGAAATCTACTAATTAATTAGTAAAATTCACTATTTGTTAGTAATATATTACTAAATCATTTGGTGGACGACTTTTCGCCATTTCATTAGTAACTTTCTACTAATTCAGATTTAGAGAGTTATATTTATCTTTTTAAAAATTATTTGATTTGAATCAAATAAGAAAGTATTCACTTGAACTTGAATGAAATAATTTTTATTTTACTGAAATAAATTATTTTTGAACCAATGAATTCAGAATTTGAAGCAAATAAAATTTATTTGATAATAAACAAAACAAGTAATCAGTTATTGGAGACAAAAACATTTTTTTAATGCAAAAAATAAAAAAATTGCATTTTTGATTATTTGAAAATAAATTGTAACTATTATTCAGCTTAACATTTTTTATTCCAATATAGCTAAAATTTTAAACCAGACTAATACCTGAGAGACTACCAAGTCTCACCTTAATCGTCAAGTCATTTTTTCGTAATGTGCGAACAAAATTTTACAGACATATATGTATATCTAAGATAAATATTAACATTAAAAAAAATTAACACGTCAAATTTTTTACAATACTATACTTCTATAAAGAAAGCTGAAAAAGACGAGAGAAAACTAGAATGTGTAGCATTCTCGACGCTCGAGACGAGACGAGACGATAATGTGTAGCATTCTCGACACTCGAGACGAGACGATAATATGTAATATTTTCGAAACACGAGACGAGACGATAAATTGCCCTATAATAACGAGACAAGACGAGACAGTTAAAATTATCGCCTCGTCTCGTATCGCGGCAACACTATTCGTGACATCACTGGCAATTGAATTTTGCCATTAAAGATTGATCAACTTTGCCATGAATGTGCCATTATTGAGCCAAACTACGCCCCAATACTGGTAATTATAATTTGCCATGAACGATACAAATTTTTTGCCATTAAAGTGCCAATAATGAGTCATTACTGGGCCGATGGTCGGCACATCACTGGCAATTGTCTTTTGCCATTAAACATTGATAAACTTTGTCATAAATGTGCCATTATTAGGCCGAGAGCTGGCCCAGTCTTAAAAAATTTGAAATTGTGACCATCGGCGCCATCATTGGCCCAGTAATGGGACGTTTTGGACACCAATAATGGCCCAGTAACTACTGCCAATTCTCGGCAGACATTACTGCACCAATGATGGGCCGTTTTTGCAGTCTTGGCATTTCGCACTTGGGAATCGATGATTGGAAATTTTGCTTTGCACGGTCCGACTCTTTTTGTAATATCCTAATATCTCGGGAACCCGTTAATATTTTTTTGTTGTTCTTGGTCTCTATTTAAAGCTTAGATTACAAGGAATAGTCTGTGAAAGTAACAATTTTTTTATCAACTTTTCTAAATTTTACCAGCAGTCAAAGTCAGGGTAAGAAATTCCCCAAAAAAATAGAATTATTTTTTGTGTTTATTACATGATATCTCGCTTCCTATTTATGCAATACAAATGAAAATAGTGTAATTTCATTTGAAATTTTTCAATGCAATTTAAAAAAAGCATCTAGCTTCATTTTTGACGGAGTTATCACTGTTTTTGTGCGGGTGTGTTTTTTAATAGCTCGAGGTGTTAGCGGTCGCACAATTTCCGCCAGTAGTGTCGTTCGGCGGAAAATGATATTGAAATTTCGCATAGGGTTGAGAATTGGCGCGGTAGTTCGAGGAAAGGAAGAGCGTAACAATGTAAAAACGGAGAACAATCAGCTTTGACGTAATTGGGGGGTTTACGGGGAAATTATAATAATGGGGACTAATAAAAGCGTTCTCTTCTGAGTTTTCGACCTTACCTCTTACAATCCTTGCATGAGGTAGGGGGATATTTTTCCTAAAACAAGTTTCCCAATTATTTTTTTCTCAAAATCTTTTCCCAAAATCTTTTCCCAAGCATATAAAAATTGTCTCATAAGAATTATTCATGTTCGAAAACACGAAATTCAAATTTTGTTTCGCTATTTGTTTCTGCAATCACCTTCATTCGTTTGTCAGTTCCGCAGTTAAAATTGTGTATAAGGCACTGAAAAATTAATCTTACATAAGGTATCCGGACAAAAAAATCAAGAAAAAAATTTTTAGGAAAAGTGTCCTACAATCCTTGCATGGATAATTCTCGCCGTCTAATGGCGACGATGGTTGGGCCGACAACTCATAAGGAAGTTGGCCCAACTTAAAATGCATATGTTGTGCCAACTATACATTTCAATGGTTGGTCCAAAGACTGACACCAAAGTTGGCACAACTTTAGATGCTTAAGTTGGGCCAACCACAATTTTCAAAGTTTGGCCAACTTCAACAGCCAAAGGTAAAAAATTATTAAAAAACTAAATTATTTAAACAATTAACAAGTTATTATTAGCAGGAACATCAGATATAACCTTGACCTATTATTATTAAACACAATCTCATACATACATTTTCGAAAATATCTAACGCTCGCTAGGATCGAACCCCTAACCTAACGCACCGAAGACTTTTTTTTTTAAATAACAGTTTATTATCCATATAAAATTACAAAAATATATATAACAATAGATACATCTGTAAAAGTCTTATAATAATATCACGTAGTACCTGCCAAGATTAACATTTAGCTTCACCTACTTATACAGTTTGTTGATTGCTTTAAAGACAATATTACAGTTTCGGTACTGAGTTTCTCTATGGTTTACAGCAAGAAGATGCTTTATACAATAGTTTATTAATGTGTAGGAAAACAAATATTCGTAGAAAAACCTACATACCTTTACGCACATTTTTAGCGTCGATTAAAGAAATTAAGTACCTGATATGGTAATTTATGTTTTAGTTTAAAAGGCAGATAATGTCTATTCATCTCTGGAATTTTTTTGGTTAATTCGCTTGTCGATAAATGCTGTTCATAAAAAGTTTCTGCTAAAAATAACGAATAATCTCTAAACATTTCAGTCTTAGTTTTCTCATGCAGTTCAGTGATTCTCGTGTATCTATCTGCATTTAATATTAATCTTAATTGTTTATTTTGAAACACTTGCAATGGTTTAAAGTTAGTTTTGGATGCACTGCACCAACCACTTATTGCATATACCATAATTGGTCGTAAAATTGATTTAAATATAATATTTTTACTTTTCTCAGTTACAGTAGAGTTTTTAGCCATAAGAGGATAAATCTTTTTCTGAACAGCATACGCCTTTCTTATAGTTTCTAAAATATGTTTATGAAAAGTCAATCTCGAGTCAAGATGGACACCAAGGTATTTAACATTGTTTGTGGGTTGTATGGGAGTACCATAAACTGTTATTGGATTAAAGATCTTTGAGCATGATGGTTTTTTAGAGAATATTATTACTTCTGTTTTACTAGCATTTAGGTTTATTTTCCATTTTTTATAATATTTCTCTAGCATATTAATGTGAATTTGAATTTGTTTTGCTGCTACTATGGCGTTGAAAGAGTGACAATAGATGGCTGTATCATCTGCAAAGAGAGATGTTTTTGTTTTTGAAAATTTAGGAATATCATTTAATTGAATATTAAAGAGCTTCGGCCCTAGAACCGATCCTTGTGGAACACCAGCTCTTACTTTTCGTTTTTCTGAGGTACACCCATCTATTGTGACTACCAGGTGTCTATTTTGAAGATAGGAATGTACATATTTGATTAACGTGAGTGGATATTCGTATTGTATCATTTTATATAAAATTGCGTCCATCCAGACTCGATCGAATGCCTTTTCTATATCTAATAATACCAGAACAGTCGTTTTATCTAGATTAAAATTAATACTAACGTCATTGACTATTCTTACAATTTGTTGTACAGTACTGTGTCTTTCCCTAAATCCAAACTGTTCGTCAATTATGATTTTATTTTTGCGTTCATGATCGTTTATTCTTTTGAGTATTATTTTTTCTGCGAGTTTACTTAATGTAGGAAGAAGACTAATAGGCCTATAACTACTAGGTTCTGATTTACATTTTCCTTCCTTATATATTGGTACAATATTCCCTGTTTTCCAGTGACTGTTCTCCGACCAACGTCATCCTCTTCTTCACATATCTGAGCGATAAGTTTTTATTTTGATTATTTATTGTGTCTATTTTGTCCTTTTCACATTTATTTTCTTATACTTGATTCTTATATGATTGTTTTTTCATTGATTTTATTTGTGCACGGAAAAAATTTTGGGACGTCAGATGCGAAAAGTCAGTGACAATAGAAGAGCATTTCATTATGTACGTCTGCGGTGCATTTTCGAGAGAGCTAAGTAAAAGTTAAGTAAAGTTTGGCACAAACGCTGTACATAATGTACGTCAGTTGCGCAAAATTAGGGACACACCATGTACAGCTGACGTGCCGAAATTTTTTCCGTGTGATATTATTTTTAATTTCTAACGACTTTGAAATATTAAATATTTATATTTGTATGTGTATGTATGTGATTCGAGACGCGTCTCACGAAAAATAATACAAATCAAATTGTAACGAATATTTCATTTTTAAGCTATTTAATTTGTTTTGTTTATTTATAATAAGATTTGGAGTCAATTATTTAAAATATCTATTATCTAATTGTTACAAAGTTAAAAATATTTTTCAGATATCGTTAACACGGTTTCACGCATGTCAAAGAGGTGCGTGATGCGTTTGACCCCAGATGTTCTTTGCTTCAATGTTGGCGATGAGCATCTTCCTGTAGTCTGGGCAGAGATTTGCCAGCTTCGTTTTTTCCATGAATATGAAATTACTGGCTCATCTGAAGAGCTTAATGAAATTTATTTGGAGTTGGACACAGTGATGCTTGCTAGAAGTGTTGCATCTTTGAAACAAAATGCAAAAAGTGCTAAAATCAAACTGGCAAATAAAAAGCATCCATGTCTTACAATTGAAATCGAGTTACCCTCTTTGAGTATGGATTCCAGACAGTGTGTTCATGACGTTCCTGTTCAAGTGATTCCTAGAAGAGAATGGAATGAATACCGAGCACCTAGAATTCCTGAATTTGATGTAAATAAGTTGTTCGATTTTAATACATAATCAAAAGAATTAGAAAATTATTATAATTATAATTATATAATATAATATTATTATTATATTATTATAATTATTATTATTATTATTCAGAATCTCGAATCAAGCTAACAGTCGTCAGTGAAATGTCGGGCGAGTTATAGAATTGGAAGGCTCAATTGTCAATATCCGATAAAAAACAAAAAGTAAAGATTAATTGGATAAATAATTAATTATTATATTTATAACTCACTTTACACATGTGACTTTCCACGGTGAAAGTTGAGCCAACTTGATTTTCTTCATCATTTAAACGATAATAACAAAAATGTATAAAATCGTAATTTTTATTTATAGATGTGTGAAAGTAAAAAATTGCTTTAAATCGGATGTATCCTAACTTCTTCGTCTTCTAAAACTAAAGAAAATTGTATGAATTAAATCACTCAAAAAGCCCCAAAATTTCAATTTAGAGCTAAAAACCCGTCTTTATTTAAGATAAAGCATAAATAGCTTGTAACTTTGTCATTTTTGGTCCAAACTCAATGATTTTTTTTTCACTTTAAAGCCGGACAAAAGAAAAGGGTTTTTTTATCACGAACATGTGATTCTTGTTATAATTAAAAATTAGGGCAGAAATTTAGTTAAAATATTTTTTTCTGTTTAGGTTTTTAAAGAGTATTTAATTCTGCGACGCATGCGATTCTTTTGAACAGGATTCGTTAAAAATTAGTCAAGTTATTGCAGTTATTATTTTGATAGACACATTATTAGATTTCATTTTTCTATGGTTAAATTCTCTTCTTTTTCCATTAATTAATGCAGGTGTATTTTTTATTAATTTCCGTCAAATTTTAATTTATTTCAGCTGAGCATTGAGTTAATTTCTTTTAATCATCAACATTGTTAATTTCTTTTATTTAAATATTAACTATTTATTATTATTTATTAACTATTACTAACAGAACTTCTAATAAAAATATTTGTTACGTCAGAACGCTTAATTAAGTATGAAATGATGGATGGAAATGTAGGAAGTCACTTATATGGTGCAGGCATCGTAGATTAACAGTGGTTTCATTTTCTAATGTTTTCACATTTCAAAAGTTTAAATGCATTTTTCTTGAAATGACATTTTTCAAAACGGTGCGGTGGACAGTCTGGCTCGAACAGTTTTGATCGGATTGACTTCGGCGAAAGTTTTTTCTGTGCATCGTTTACTTACTTTAGAGTTTTTTTTGGGTATTTTTTTGGTTTGTTTGTTTTTTTTTGCAATAGATTGTTTGAAAAAATTTCGCCCTAAGAATTGAAAAAAATGTTATTAAAAATCTTGTTATTTACTGCTAACTATACATTTTTATATTAGGTACAAAAAATATAATTTGTATAAAAATGTTTAACAAAATTGTTGGAATTGAGTCTCCAGGTCCTAAAAAGACACATGTAGCATTGATTTTAAATAGTATATATGCCCTTTTAAGATCCGGAGTCTCAATTTATCTGCGATGACTAAAATTAGTGTTATTAATGGATTTTTATCCATGAATAATACTAATTTTAGTTTAAAAAGTGTTTAATGCTGTAAAATAATATATAAAATACGATTTTCTTTTTCTTTTCTTCGTACGCAAAACAAAAATGGAAAATAAAATTCTAATTTCCCTAAACTTTTGCATGGTCCCAAGTCTAGTTTATTAAATAAAAATATTTCAAGAATAATACAATTTCAAAAGATTAATGGACGTCATTTTTTTTCAATGTTGAAGTTGTTTAATTATGATTATTATCCATGCTAAACTAACTTCAATTTTCAAAAAATTACTTGCATTAACCTTTAAAAAATGTACGATTTTAAAAATGTTTTTATTAAAGAAACCAGACTCGGGGCAAACATTAACAGGGTTGCTATAGAAGTCTGTTTTTAAATTTCCATGACTTTTCCAGGTTTTCCAGTACCAAATCTTATAAATTTCCAGGTCACCTTTTGAACATTATAAATTAGAGCAATTTTTGAAGAAAAATTGGCCTAATAATAATAAATTAGAATTTTTCTGTATTATAAAAATATTCACGTTAGATTATCTCTATTTGATTATTAATGCACAGACAGGGTGTCTACTGAAAATATGACTTAAAATTCCAGGACATTCCAGGACAGATTTTTTATTTTTCCAGGACATTTACATATGTGTAATATTATTTCATATTACGATTAACATAATTTAAATTAACCTATTTGAACAAAAATATTAATTTTATTATAAAAAGAGTTAAAAATCAATATTATATAATATAGATATCAGATTCTTTAATCAAACAATAAATTAAAATTATTTTGTGATGGATCAAAAAAATTATTTTTTTAAATTTGAGTAAAATTTTTAAATTATTGAATATTTAAAAGCAAAATATGAAAATTTCAAGGATATTTCAGGACATCATTTTTTAAAAGAAAAAATGTAGTAAAAAATATTAAGTGGAATAAAATTCCAGACATTTCAAATTTCCATGACATTTCCAGGTATTCCAGACCTTTTTTTAAAAATCCCTGACTTTTCCAGGTATTCCAGACCTTTTTTTAAAAAATCCCTGACTTTTCCAGGTTTTCCAGGTTCTGTAGCAACATATAATAATAAATAATAATAATAATTAAATAATAATACATATAATATGTATATGTGTATGTGTGCGTGTACTTAATGATTATTAAAATACATACCTTCAAAAGCTCATACCATTTATTTTTTAAATTGCCCGTGTGGAAAAAGCCCCCATCAAGCCCACACGACACGAGGGCTGATCCATGTGGGCAAATCCATGAGGGCCACGCCGAGGGCCCCCATGGATTGCCCACATCATTGACTTGCAAAAATTTCTAAGTCCAAAAAAACAATTTTTTTTACAACAAAAAATTAATGTTTATAATGATTTTAAACAATGAAAAACACGTTTTTAACAAATATTTAATGTTACTTTTAAAAAAATATAACACTCACATGAGGGCGAATCCTTGAGGGCCCACGTGAGGGACCCGCATGGATCGCCCATATCATTAACTAGAAAAAATTTCTAAGTCCAAAAAAAAAATTTTTTTTACATCAACAAATTAATGTTTATAATGATTTTAAACAATGAAAAACACGTTTTTCACAAATATTTAATGTTACACTCAAATCTCGCTATAACGACCTTCTCTATAACGAGCGCTCTCTATAACGAGGGCTCTGTCTCTCGGTATAGCGAGAAAAATTTCCTCCCGATTACCCCCACTATTTATAAACAAATGCACATTCAGTTGGTTTAAATTTGGTTAAAATCAATTTTATTTATATGAAATAAAAATAAAAAGTCACTTCTTATTTGAAATTATATCAATGAGTCGAACATCTTCAAAATTTAAGCTTATATAAATTTTCTGTATGTTAAAGTTCAAAGTAAACTAGGTTACGTTTGTAATTTTGACATTATTTAATTTGTAAACACTAAAAAAAATGAATAAAGAATCTTAAAAGTGGGGATTTCTCATTTCTCCTCTTGCGCTCGTAATAGAGGGAGACTTGACTCCCGAACTTCTCGTTATAGCGAGATTCGAGTGTACTTTTAAAAAAATATAACACTCACATGAGGGCGAATCCTTGAGGGCCCACGCGAGGGGCCTGCATGGATCGCCCACATCATTGACTTGCAAAAATTTCTAAGTCCAAACAAAAAATATTTTTTTACATAACAAAAATTAATGTTTATAATTATTTTAAACAATGAAAAACATGTTTTTTGTTATGGTGTATTAGTGTCAATAATGTTTTATTGAATCATCAAAAGCAAGTCAGCTAGTTACCTACTATAAAGAAACAAATTTCAAGTAGGTCCCTTAGCACAGTGGTAAAGCGTTTGTCTGATAGTCCGTAGGTCGTAGGTTCTATTCCTGAGTGCGTCAGATTTTTTTTTTTTTTGGTCGCGATTTAATTAAAAAAAGTAAAAATCGTTAAATAACAATGTTATTTATTAATAGTTGAGCTTGTTTATTATTAATAAATAATTAATTTATTAACTTAATTTTGAAAAATAAAGGTGAGGGTAAGTCGAGGGCAAAGATGAGGGCCACGCCGGGGGCCGACGAGGGCGCCCGCGTGGATCGCCCATGCGGGCGCCCTCATCGATCAGCATGTCGTTTCCATGAGGGGCCTCGCCTGGATCACCCACGTGGGCCCCTCATGGATGTGGGCGATCCATGCAGGCCCCCGGCGTGGGCCAACACCACTTTTCCACACGGGTGCTTACTAAAATATTTAGAAATTGACAGGATTTGCTTGAAACTCATACTACACGGGAAATAATGGAGCAAGCTGAATGTGGTTTAGAGACAAAATCATCCAGAATTGGGTGATCCACGTACCCAGTTATCATTTTCTAAAATTTTGGGAAGTTAGTCTCAATGGCAGACAAGCAGACTTCCCTTGCAGTGAGAAGCAACAATTTTAGTCCCTGGGTGATCAGACAACTCAAAAGTTTTCCCGTGTAATTGGCGTTTATTTTAGAAAACATTATTAATACTCTCTAAATCTGAATTAGTAGAAAGTTACTAATGAAATGACGAAAAGTCTTCCACCAAATGATTTAGTAATAATTTTACTAACAAATAGTGAAATTTTACTAATTATTAGTAGATTTTACTAATTGCTTAGTAGAATTCTACTAAAACATTAGTAAAAAAATTACTTAAAGTTAGTAATATTCTACTAATTGAAAAGGGGAAAAGTCTTCCATGAAAACTACTAAAAATTAGTAAAATTTTACTATTTCTTAGTAGAATTCTACTAATTCAGATTTAGAGAGTATAAGCCGCCAAGAAGTACACATACAAAATTCTGACACTCATCATCAGTTTATTAGCAAGGCGGTCAGAATTTTATGTGTGATACTGATTATACTTTCCGGCGGCTTATATAGTAATATTGAAAATCGCAAAGCATAATCTTGAGATTTCTCAAGAAATCCAACAGCTACGATTTGAGGCAAAGCAATTTTTAGTTACACAAAAAGTCATCTAAAATCTTATTCAAATAATATTTGAATCCAATTTAGTGAAACCTATTGATACTGTATAAATTTTTAATAACATTTCAGATATCACTGGAAATGCCTCAGCTGAAGCACGTTCGCAACATGGTTGAGAGAATGAAAAATATGAGCTCGAATTTGACTTTAGAGACAGACAGAGATGGCAAATTAATTCTCAAAGTGGAAAATGACTGTGCAAGGATAGCAACATATTTCCCCAATTTGAAGGTCTGGTGTAGATCCAACTTGGAAGAAGATATTTCAGCCAGTGTAGATATAAAAAAATTCCATACCTTTCTTTCATGGGAAATAATACATCCGGATAGTGTCAAGTGTAACATTCTTCACGAAAGGACAGTCAACTTGCATTTATGTTCAGAAGGATATCTTACAATACACTACTTCATGCCAGCGATCGCCTCCTAAATAACGATAGTCAAAATATTTCACAAGTGCCTTATATTAAATAATTATTCAATTACTTAAGAAATGTAAAAATGAAAAATATAACTTTATTTATTCGTCAACATTATTCGAAACCTTAATTTTTATTTTACATTTAAAAACATTTAATACTAGTTGTAAGCTAGACTGAAACTGCGTTCATTTTCCTGACGAAAGTTGTGGTGCATTTGATCGATTTGCTGAATTTTTTGACTTATGAGATTGGTACGTTGATCAAGCCACTGCAAGCTGTTCATGTGAGCATTCAATATTTTTCCAATCTGAACAATAGGATCACTCGAATCTTGGGCACGATTCGCTTCATTTAAATGTTCAATAATCTCTTTCAAGTCTTCAGACATTTGTTTGAGTTGAGTGTCTAGACTTTCGGCGAGACGGTAAGTGTATTCTCGTTCGGGATCTGATACTGAGAGTTGAGAAAGTTCTTTTTCAAGAGGCACGAGACAGTCCTGTAATTCCTTCTGCTGACCAACCTAAATATTATTTTCAATAAATAAGTTTTTCCATACTCGCATAAAAATTGTATGAAAATAATGAAAATCAGAAATATTTACCACATAGTCAAGTTCATGCTCTAATTGTTGTTGTTCTTGTTTAACTCTTTCCACTTCCTGATTTAGGGTAACGATCTTCTCTCCGTTGGCAATGAGTAATTTGTCCCAAGCGTTAACCTGCGTTGCTTGATTGACAAACACCTTTTCTTGCTCTTCCAATTCTAAAGTCCACTTATTGATGGATTCTTCCAGCTGACAAAAATTAATTGTTCCATCCTGGCCACTGCTAGCTGATGTACTCACGCTGCAACATTAATAATAAACAAAAATAGAGGACTATAATTATTGTTAATTTAATATTCTTCATCATAAAATCTACCATATGTAAGTTTTTTTTAAATAGTAAACTTTCTTCTTTTATAAAAGTATTTCGATAATTTGACCTCAAAATTATCAAACTAAGCATTAAATTAAACAATTTTTAGTAAATAAAGTGAAAGATTCATATAACAAACATTGTCTGGTTTGACTTGTAATAGTAAGTCAATTCAGGGCAATAGAAAATTCCACTGATTTGTTTTACTTATATTATTATATTATATTTAAACAATAGAAATTTCATTTACTGTTTTTGTTTGTAAAGTTTGTGCCAATATAATTGTAAATTAATTGGGTATCAGTTTCTACTTGTATCCATGATTAAAAATTACAAAAGTATTATTTTATAATATTTAAATATATTTACGTAGAAGTGGAGCCTAAAGAAGCCTGAAGAGTTCCAACAGCTGGAGTTGTTTGAGTGGTTAAAGAAGTGGTTTTCCCAAGCGAAAAGCCAGAGATTGTTGATTGAGCGGGAGTTCCTAACGTGAAACCTGTGGTTGTTGTAGCCATTATATGTGTTTATTTAATTCACTTACAAAAGTTGAAAGCGAGTCAAGCCTTGAATCTGAAATTTAATACAAGTTCATGTTCTTATAACTGAGTCAAATTAAACAAAACATTAAGCTTAGATAAATAGTGTGCAAAATTTTCAGTACAAGTTAATGCTACTCTCTTTAACTTTTTGCTGTTTCTAACGCGGTATCATACACTGAGAAAACTGGAGGTTTAAAAGTGTATGTTTTCCTTTATTATAAAGAGAGTTTGATAGTCTTCTAAAATGATGTTTGAATCTGTAAAGAGATTCATAATATAAAGTCTAGTATTCTTATTTTTTGAGATTAAGGAACGCGTATATGATCAAAGAAAAATAATTCTATTGTTTGAGCAAATTCCATACATAAAAATTTTTCTTATTGGGGTGGAAATTTTAACACCATTAGTAAAAAAAAGTATTGAAAATTATCAGCTTTTAAACTTTGAAAAATAATTCAAGAATTTGAAAAAATTACATATTTCAGTCTTACGCGTGTTCCTTAATCTGAATAAAAAAGAATGTTATGTTTCGATATTATAAATCCTTTTACAGTCTAAGGAAATCACATTCAAGTTTTGACACCATGCCGCCCAAGTGGTTAATGACAAGATCTTCAGTGATTGTGGAGAAGTCGTCATTCGAACATTTGAAGACATTTTTTTTTGTGAAGTTAGCATACAAGTGTTATAATCGAAGGGCATTCATGGCAGATTCAGTTTGGTAGCTACATTTTATTGTTTGGTGGTGTAAATAAAAAATAAAAACTACTACAATTCCAAGGTACATAATTTTTTTACATTGCTATTATTTGTAAATTTTCATTTTATATACAAAGAAAATTTTATTTGTAGCGGTTTCATTGATGAATGAAATTATTAGGGGAGAGTGGTTCTAAGTTGGCCGCCTAAGCTAATTGGTCGAAAGTAGTAACAAAATGAAATTTAATCACTTCGGCAAGTATATATTAGTGTTCAGAGAGCGTTTTGCTATAATTTTGTGGTATTCAGAATGATATAGAATGGCTTTTGTAGTCTTAATACGAAAAATAGTGAAAAGTTGCATTTTGGACATTTCAGAAATAGCGGTCCTAAGTTGGCCACCACTTTTTTTCGCTTGAGTATAAGGAAGAAATGCATATTCTTTTCAATTACGCAGAAATTTTACAAATTTGATACATTTAGGAGAATAAAAACGCATTATTTAACTATTTTTGTTTTGGAAATGAAGCATTGTTTTATTTTATTTATTTGCAGTGGTGGATGGCTGCGGAGACTAGCGTTTTTTAGTATGTCTTTTCTATTGTTTAATTCCTACGTTACACTTTCATGGTCTTTCTCGTGATGAAAAACACAAAAAAGAAGCAAAACATAAATAAAAGCAAACAAAAACAATAGGTGGCCAACTTAGGACCACTGTAGATTTTTACAAGTTTCAAATTATTACGCTACTAAAAAATTTAATTAAAAAATCAACAGAACCTCTTATTACAACATTAGGTAACGGAACTAGCGCACACATTCATTAAGAAATTTTTAATTATTTATCTCTTGTAGGTGCTCTCGAAAAAGCAAGAAAAATTAAATTTTTTTTGTCGTAAACAATATTATTGTTCTCACAATGCGTAGAAGAATCTTAGATTATAATTAGGTCCATAAATTATATCATGGTTTATCAATATATCACATCACGAAATTATAGATTCGTCCAGTATACCATCTCTGAGAAATGCAGGGTAGCCAACTTAGGCCCACGGCCAACTTAGGACAATTTTTAACCACTCTCCCCTAATAATTTTTCCTTAATTCATAATTTATAATATTTTATCACCAAAAGGATAGCATAAACTATAACTTCTGTGAATTTTATGGAAAAATATTAATAACTTTTCATTTTAGAACGAGTTGAAGCAAAAAACCGGGGCGTATTGGATAACTCCCGGGGCGTAATGAATAATGATTGCTAATTATTATCTACAGTTTCCAATCTTATTGTATATTGTAAATTAAGATTCCTGGGTATTCCGTGAATGCTATTTTTATTCAACAATACTTCTCCTATCGCTTTTTCAATAACATCCTGTGATATTGGCACTCTCTCAATTTTTTTTGTAATTTCTCATTAAAATCGTAGCTTGAAATTTGTAAATTTTAGACCAAAACTTAAAATTTTTGACAAAAACACCAAAACATACTTAAACTAAGTGACAAGTAACCGCGAAAACGAACCTACACTTCACCGATATGGTAGGTTGCTCTTTAGGGACGCATGAATAATCTCTAGAAATAATTAGTTAGAAGTTTTAAGTTTTTGGTCAGTTTTGAAACTGGCGCCGAAATCTTTCGGCATATTGTTATGTCGGCCATTTGCAAATTCGCACAAATGAGCATTCGTTCTTTTAAGAATTCTGTCAAATGATAATATCCCAAGTGCGAAATGCCGAGACTGCAAATACGGCCCATCATTGGTGCAGTAATGTCTGCCGAGAATTGGCAGTAGTTACTGGGCCATTATTGGTGTTAAAAACGTCCCATTACTGGGCCAATGATGGCGCCGATGGTCAGAATTTCAAATTTTTTAAGACTGGGCCAGCTCTCGGCCCAATAATGGCACATTCATGGCAAAGTTAATCAATCTTTAATGGCAAAAAACAATTGCCAGTGATGTGCCGACCATCGGCCCAGTAATGGCTCATTATTGGCACTTTAATGGCAAAAAGTTTGTATCGTTCATGGCAAATTATAATTGCCAGTATTAAGGCGCAGCTTGGCTCAATAATGGCACATTCACTTTGAAACTTTGAATTTTCTATATTTTTAACTGTCAATTTTAAAGAATTAATTTTTTTGAAAAAGTTTAATTAAGTATTAATTTTAAAAAGAAATTATTAATGTTTTTAAATAATTTTCCAATTAAAGAAATTCGTAAATAAATGTAACAGAAACCTTTTTTTGAGTAAAATTTTTCCTTTATTATCTAAAAATTAAGAAATTTTCAATTTCACTTTCAATTAATATTTGCAATTGACAAATAGAATTTATAAACATTTTTTTCCTTTATTGTTTAAAAATCTTTGAATTTTTCTTATAGCAATTGTAATTAAGAAATAGAAATGATGCAAATTATTTCCTTAAGAAAATTTATTGAATAAATCAATGTTTTTTAAAATTTAATTCTCATAATTCAATTTTAAGAAACATTTAGTTATTCAATAAATTATTTATTTTTGCATTTAAATAATTAAATTCTCGTAGAATTTTCTAGTAAAAATTGATTTCAAAATGGATTCTAGTCAAATTTTTAGATAATAATTAAATATTAAAAACATAGCATGAATTTTGATATTAAAATTTTTTTAAATTCAATTGCCATCGATGTGACGAAGATTGGCCCACTAAAGGCACATTAATGGCACTTTAATGGCAAAAATGTTGTATATTTAATGGCAAAATATAATTGCCAGAATTGGGGCGTTGCTTGGCCCAATAATGGCACATTCACGGCAAAGTTGATCAATCTTTAATGGTAAAAGACAATTGCCAGTGATGTGACGAAGATCGGCCCATTAATGGATCATTAGTGGCACTTTAATGGCAAACATTTTGTATCCTTGATGGCAAAATATAATTGCCAGAATTAGGGTGTAGCTTGGCCCAGGAATGGCACATTAATGTCTATCATTTTGTATCTTTGATGGCAAATTATAATTGCCAATATTGGGACGTAGCTCGGCCCAATAATGGCACAGTATCGGCCAGTGTAGTGTAGCTTATAAGAACCCTTTTGCTTCCTCGACGTCAAGTCAGAGTAGCAGAGTGGTCAGAGTGTTGGGCTGTGGTGCGTCAGGTTCAGGTATCGGTCCCCGCGAGAGGTAAGAATTTTTCAAATATTTGTAAGTTTGCATTTAATTTAGGGAAATAAGCCGTATAAATGTTATAAATTAATTAGTTAATTGAATAAACAAAAATTTATTTTTATTTTTTTTTAATTTTGTCAACACTGGGGGAGTAATGGCAGCCAATATTGGGCCATTAATGTCTGCCGAGATCTGGCTGCCGACGTCCAACCGCGGTTAACACCACAAGAGTCGGCGCAAAGTCGGCCCAATATTGTCTGCCAAGTCTCGATGCCAGCTTTGCCAATACTGGGCCAGTGTTGGGCCGCGTTGGTTTTCGCACTTGGGATGAAAATAAACATTTGGCGAAATAAAGATTCGCCGAAATGGAAATTATGTCTTTTCAAAATTAGACTAAGTAGAAATAATGTAAAATAAGAGTTGTTGTAAATAAAAATTCGTATAAATAAGAATTCATTTTAATGCACGGAAAAAAATAATTCGGAAATAGTTCCTAAATTCGTTCCGAAATTGAGGATATGAGCAAAAGTCGGTAATTATTATAGAGCTGTTATTTGGAAGAAATGTCGAACTTTCAAAATAGATATTCAGGAATTATAGGGTAAGAACTCGGTATTTATGTGATAGTTTTTTCGAAATGTAGCGGCTGAGTATTTCAGATAGTCTGGACGGTAGAACTTCCGATGAGTTCGGGAAAAATTCAGAGGGTCGCTTCATATATGAAGAAGCTCTTATAAGGACTACAGAATAGTTCCGGAACAATTCCGTAGCAAAAGAAAATAAAAAAAAGAAGTTGCGTATACGCGTATATACTTGATCGACATTCGTCAAGCAAGGCGAACTGTGATTGGTTGAGGAGGATACACACACATACATACATAATACACTTATAGCTACCTACATATATTCTAACGCACACATAATTTATACACAAATAAACGCAAATACACGACGCATTGAATCGCACGCTGGTTGTAGGGACCTGGGAAGTCTCTTATATACTAGACTTTACTTTTATTCAGCGCTTGTGAGAAACGGGATCGGCACATCTTTTCTTTCGATGAAGTTCGGGAATTATTATGAAATTTAAACTGGAGTTCTCCTTGATTGGACGCTTGTAAATACTATTTTAGAAGAAATATAATTTCTACGATAAAATTTCGATAATATTATAGACCAGTCCTGTATTTCTCCAGGAATTTATTTACAATGCTGATTTTGAAAGTCTCACAAAAACCGTTTCGTAATTAGTTCGGAACGATTCAGATATATTTACATTGAATTTCTAAAAATTTCTGGAACTTTGCACTAATCCTCAATTATGGAACAAATTCAGGAATTCTTACAGAATTTATTTTTTCCGTGTGGAAAGTACCATTAATGGAAATTGTGTTAAATGATAATTCTCATAAATAAAAATTCGAGTATTTATAAAACTGTTAATGTAAATATTCGGGTCAATTTAAAATCGATTAAACAAAAATTCGAAAAAAATGAAATTCTGCTAAAAGAAAATTCTAATAAATGAAATTCAATCATTTAAAACTTCTAACTAATGATTTCTAGAGATTATTCATGCGTCCCGCTCTCTATACATAACGTATTGCATTAGCAAACACGCCCCGGGAAAAACTAGCCATTACGCCCCAGGGTACTTGGCAAATATTTTGTAATTTTTTAGCAATACAGTAAGTATGTGAATCAAAAATCTTTAATTGGCCCTTAAAAACAAATGTTTCAAGCTCAAAACGTGATTTTAGTTTTTTTTAAAGGCTATTTTTGAAAAAATTACAACGAAGAAATGGAAATTTTGAAAAGTTACTTTCGTATGTCAAAAATAGTTTTTCTACTATATTTTTTACAATAGTGAATGAATATTAATAAAACTTCCTACAAACTTGCAGTATACCAAGTACAATAACTTGTCTATCGAGCGAAATTATTTCGATTTACGGTTTTTAAATAAATTACAATTCTTCATTACGCCCCGGTCTCCCCTACAGTATTTCTTGAGAAAAATGTGTTTTAGGGTTCCGTACACCTACGGTGTATCGGCGGAACCCTATTGGTGAGACTCTGTTGTCCGTAGCCAAATCGTGTCCCCCACCCCTAGCGGCTAAACTATTTGACCTAAAGAGCTCAAATTTGGTACAGATATGTATTTTCACACGTAGATTACAGGAAAAATATAGCGAATGTGATTGGACGTGATGGGCATAGCGTTGTCAAGGAAATAACAAGATTTTTGGCCAAAAATGCATAAAAAGTGACCATTCCCCCCCCCCCCTTAACTTCTAAACTTTTCGACATGGAGAGCTGAAATTTTGCATGCTGGTGTATTTTTACTCGAATATTACAGGAAAAATATAGAGAACTTGATATGTAATGATGGCCATAGCGTTGTCAAGGAAAAACTAAAAAATTTTTTAAAAAAAATTTTTTTTTCCCAACTTTTACATTATTTGACCTAATGAGCTGAAAATTAGTATCCTAGTGTATTATTACAGTCTGACGACAAAAAATTTATTTCAGAAACTTTTTGAAAAAAAATCAAAAAAAAATTTTTTTTAATTTTTTTTAGTTTAAACACGTGGCATTAAATATTTTAAGGAAGAGAGTGAAATTTTAAGAGATTAAATGAGAGATTGTTTTCTGACTTTAATTTCTTAACTAAAAATAAAAAAAAATTGGACAAGTGCGAGTTGTACTCGCACTGCAATGGCGGGTTCCGCACACAAATATTAAAACAATACTTGTAACATTGATAGGTAATTGGTAGAATTAAAATAAACAATTATAAAAATATATTAAAATCATTTGATAACAAAAAATAACTAAAAAAATTAAAGTATTGTATATCTAATATTATAAACAATAATAAGCAGAGGAACTATAATAAATTTTGAAAATTTTGTTCCTCTGCTTATTATTGTTTACAATGTTAGATATATACAATACTTTAATTTTTTTTAGTTATTTTTTTTATCAAATGATTTTAATATATTTTTATAATTGTTTATTTTAATTCTACCAATTACCGATCAATGTTGCAAGTATTGTTTTAATATTTGTGTGCGGAACCCGCCATTGCAGTGCGAGTACAACTCGCACTTGTCCAATTTTTTTTTGATTTTTCTTTCCCCCTCCATAACACCCACAAATCTCAAAATTTTGAGTTGAAACATTCAGAAAGTTATTTTTAAGTGGGTAGAGATCAGGGTGGTCACAAGTTTCAGTTTATTAATTTTCCTTACATTTTCTTGCCAATTTACTGACATTAATATTACTTTCCCTGACAAAATTCTTTTTACAGGAAAATATGAATGTTTACGGAAAATGAGTAAAATTTATGAATTTTAGTAAACTGGACTGTATATGATTTCTCAAAAATAGTAGAGACCCCCCCCCAAACGTGACATCATTTGTGAACGCTCCCTTGTTCAACGATAATTGAATCTTAAAAAATTATTGTAAAACAATTCTAATAATTAGTTTTTAAAAAATGTTAATGTAATTTTTCGAAAATAAATGAATTTCTTAAAAAAATTTTTGTATAATTTAAAAAAACTAATTAATTTTTTGATGCATTTTAATTAAAAATTTTGAACATGATTGTTTTCTCCAAAATGTTATTTTTTTGTATGTATAATTGACAAGTAGAATTCATAAACATTTATTTCCTTCATTTTTAAAAAATTTAGAATTTGATGTGTCTATTTCGCCCGTCACTAAAAATACGTAGGTGGGGGACAACGAGCGAAATAAGAGCAATGAATTATTTCGCCCGTTATATAGTTATTCCTATAATACCATCGAAAAATTTTAAATTTTTAAGGTGAATGACAGAAATGAAAAGAAGTGTGTTCAAGTCAGGTTAGTAACCTTCACACCAAATTCAAATAATTATGTGTAGCTCATTTTTAAAAAAAGTACAGTTTTTTTATTTAAGTTTGAAAATGAATTTCACACTTTATACAAATTAAAATGTTTTGAAGTGTTCCAATATAATCGCACTTAATGTGAATAAATATTTATAAATTTTCTTTTATTTAAAAATTTCGTAAGTCGATTATTTAAAACACATTTTAAATTAAATCCATCGTTAAAAATGTAACGAAACAAAACAAATTATAGTAAAAATTATTTAAAAAACGTTTTAAATATAATCATTCGTTAAAAGGTAACGAAACATAATTTTTAAGTGTTTTTACACTTCTTACAAAACCAATGTTTGGTTTTGGGAAGTTTTTTCAAGTCAATGCAGATTCCACAAAGCCAAACATTGGTTATAAATTAAAGAGCTCTTTAAAAATCAACATAAAAATAAATTTATAAATTTATTTGATAAATTAAATACCTAAAGGGCACTGTAGGAAATACGATAGGTAGTTTTTGATCCCAGTCGATTTTTGAATTGGCAAGTTCGAATCGAATTTTGCACACCACCAATTGGAACCCAAAACTAATATATTTCTTGCGGGATTCTTTTAGATTTATTTCTAAATTGTTCTTTCAAAAATAGTATCATAAAACTTATTTTCCAAATCTGAATTAATATACTTTTGAACTGATTTGAACAAAAATAATAAAAATTTTCTAAAAATTAATGTTTTTAGTCTACATAGATAGGTAGAAAAAATATTAAAATACATAATCTAGTTTCTTTTATAAAATATTATGTAGAAAATTACTAATGAGCACCAAAAATATTGATAAATAAAGAAACTTTGTGAATTATTATAAAAATGCACAACTTTTTAAGTTTTTAATTCAATCTTCACAAAAATATACAAGTGACAAGCTAACCTTTTTCCCATTAAAATTAATTAAAAAACCAAAAACGGGCAAAGCAATGTGTCATTGCTACTTCGCCCGTTTTACATATTTTTACTTATTTTTCATGATGGGCGAAATAATTTACTCTTGTTATTTCGCCCGTTTGCCCCTACTTACTAATTTTTCATGACGGGCGAAATAATTCATCTCTCTTATTTCGCCAGTTGTCCCCCACCTATGTATTTTTAGTGACGGGCGAAATAGACACAATTGTAATTAAGAAATAGAAATGGTGCAAATTATTTCGTAATGAAAATTAAGAATTTTCAACAAAAATTGTTATTAAAAAACGGGAATGTGTAATGTTTTTACCCAAAAGAGAAGATTTCGTAGGTCACAATATATTGTTATTGAGAAAAAAATGCAAACTGGGTATATTCCCTATTTCTTAATTATAATTTTGTAACAATTTTCCAATATACAATCATAATTACAATTATTATTAAATTTTAAAACATATTAAATTTTAAAACATTATTAATGAATAATAATTTTATGGACATGCTTTAAGAATTAAATTATTTAAAATAAATTCAATTGAACAAAGAGGTGATTTTAAAATTTAAAGATACTTTTTTAATATTTTCCAAAGTAGCTGGACAACAAACACCAGATTTTCCTTATGAATTCTAGATGTTTCATTTTTTCCAGTATTTATTATAAAAAAATAATATATATTATATAATATATATATGTATTTATTTTGTTATATAAAATAATAGCAATATTATATATTGATGATTATTTCAATACAAAAAAACAAACATCATAATTATGCAAAATTTGTCACAGAATTACAGAATATGTAAAATACTTAAATAATTTATAAAAATATATAACGAATGTATGAAACATTTATTGGATAAAACATCCATCGATCTAAAATAAGTACAAATAACAATAAACACCAAAAAAACAATATATTCTAACCTTATAAATAATTACACCACAATCAGAACCAAGAAGACTGTATAATAGAGACAGGAGAACCAACTCTCCAGTTTGACAAGTAGTAGTAGTAGTATAGTGTTTAACATTGGCACTTAGGGTGCGATCCCATGAATGCAGAATACGTCGACCGAAAGCAGAAAATCATGAGAGTGAAAAGAACAACAATATCTATCTATCTCTTTCGCACTCATGATTTTCTGTTTTCGGTCGACGTATTCTGCTGTAATGGGATTGCACCCTTAGGGTGGAGTCCCATGGCACCGTTTTGCGTTGCGTCGTAATGGGAGAGAAAAAGACGCAAATATACGTTTGCTGCATTCTCTCTCATTACAACGCAACGCAAAACGCTGCCATGGGACTGCGGCCTTAGGGTGGAGTCCCATGACAGCGTTTTGCGTTGCGTCGTAATGGGAGAGAAAAAGACGCAAATATACGTTTGCTGCATTCTCTCTCATTACAACGCAACGCAAAACGCTGCCATGGGACTGCGGCCTGAGGCTGGAGTCCCATGATAGCGTTTTGCGTCGCGTTTTGTTACTAGGCCATGAGTGCAAATATAGCGAACATATATATCCATCTCTCTCACACTCATGGCCTAGTTACAAAACGCAAAACGCTGCCATGGGACTCCACCCTAAAACCCAGTAAAAAAAAGTATTGAGTGGAGCGTTTAGGAATTGAGTGAGGGTGAAGTCCCATGGCAGCGTTTTGCGTTGCGTTTTGTAACTAGACCATGAGTGCAAATATAGCAAACATATATCTCCATCTCTCTCACACTCATTGCTTAGTTACAAAACGCAACGCAAAACGCTGCCATGGGACTTCAGCCTGAAGCGCTGAGCCAATACGGATTCGAGTAAAAACCGTATTGGGACGTTTGACTCAATCTTTTTGTCATCCGCCGAATACGGTCTTATTTTAGCATTGAAATTAAAATCACATGAGCAGAGTACACATTATAAATTGAAAGCACAATTGACTTAGAATGTAAAAATGCCGATTTCGATAAGAAACAGTGAATATTTGTTAAAAATTGGTAAAAGCAAAGTTTGAAATTTACTGTTACCGACAGAAAGTTCCTAGAGAATTGTGGTAAATTCAAATGGAGAAAAGAAAACAATGAAATTTCATTGTTTTGTTGAATTGTAAAGGTGTCTCTACAATTGGGATTTGAAATACTACGATACGCCATCTGGTGTTTACCTGCTTTCGAAGCTTTCTTTGTTTTTTATCTCTTTCTGGTGCATATGTTAGAAAGAGATAAAAAAACCAAGATGGTTTCCGAAAGCAAGTACAGATGGGTCGTTTAAGGCCAACGCAGAATAGATCTGTAACCGGAACCGCAATCGTAAGCGTAACCGTAAGAATGAGTTAGAGAAGGATAGGTATATTGTTTATCCTTCTCTAACTCATTCTTACGCTTACGGTTACGATTGCGGTTCCAGTTACAGATCTATTCTGCGTTGGCCTTTAACGTGATTTCAGATCTTAATATAGCTTGTATAGATGCGTTTGTTTTGTCCAATTTAAAACAAATTCATATTTCGTATATTAATTACGATAATTTACTTTGAAATTACTGATTATACAGTCCAAGAAGACTAGAAACAGGAGGTCTAACTTAGTAGTGGGGGTAATGTAAAGGAAGTGGCCAGAGTCGGTTGGACTTTGCTTTTTCGGCCACTGCGCGGTAAACAAATTTTATCCTTCTGCACATAAATAAACAATATATATCACGTGGTTAATTGTTGTATTTTTGAGTACTTCACTTTTAATAATTGGCGATTCAAACAGCTAAACTAGCGCATCTGGTGGCCGAGTTTAAACTAATATATACACGACTCCCTGCATGGTGTTCAATGTAAATATCAACATTTTTAAAGTTTTTCAGTTTTATTTTCATTATATTAAATCAATTTTTTTTCTAAATTGTTAACCTTATTTAAATATTTATTAAATAAATTATAATAAATATGGATAAGAGCATCGTTACTCATGAACAAAAGAAAAGAAAAAACGGGATCGAAACAATTATTATGTTCCGCTCTAATTCTAATAATTAAATAATTCTAATATTAATAATATTATATTTCTAATAATCTAAAATTCTAATTTTATATTATTAATTTAATGTCTATAGAGATTAAATTAATAATATATAATTAGAAGTAATATAAAATTAGAATTTTTGTCAAACATATAAAAACATAACCAAAAAATGTTCTTTCTAGTTGATATGTAATCTTTAGATTTAAAATTTGTACTGCAAACTTTCATTTTGTCGGTTAATTTTTTCCCTGTTTTAAATGCAATAGCCTACTGTTTACGTCTTACAACATTTTTTGGAAGCTGATAAAGATTTTCTGTTTTTTTTTCAATTCAGAGCGAATAACATTTGTTTCGTTCCCGTTTTTTCTTTTCTTTCTGTCCGCGAGTAACGATGCTCTTTCAAAATTATTATAATATATTTAATAAATATTTAAACAAGTAGAACAATTAAAAAAAAACTTGATTTAATAGTGAAAATAAAACTGAAAAACTATAAAAACGTTGATATTTACATTGAACACCATGCAGGGAGTCGTGTATATATTAGTTTAAACTCGGCCACCGGAGGCGCTAGTTTAGCTGTTTGAATCGCCAATTGGCAATGAAAATTACCACCGCGGGCTCGGTGTCGCTAGTGTTTTACACCAAAAATGGACGAAATGGGTGTACAAATTTAAAAAAATATAAACTTATATTGTGACTTTTCGGTTTTAATTTTAAGTAGTTTATCAATAAAAAGATAAATCATGACCAGCAATCTTAACAAATATTTCTTAAACATTAGAATACTTTAAATATTAACATTTTTTGCAACCTTGTACACCCACAGAAGCCATTTTTTTAGTTCACTTTATGGTCACTACGTGTCGCATTGCAATTTTAAATCCCCAATATGATCTGTTGCGATATAAATATTATTTAAATCAGTTTTATCAAGAATGTCGGGAACATTTAAATATTCGAGATGAATCCACATATATACCAAAATGAATTGCACATAATGACATGGGTTTGGCACCACTGATCTCTATATACCTCTGGATTGGAAATGCTGTGAGCAGAACTTTTACCACGGCGGCCATCTTTCATTGTAGTAAAAGTACAAAATTATGGCGCGAAAGCCTTGTTTCATATTACAAAGTAAATTTCTTTTTTATTGTAAGTAGATGTATGAATAAACAACTCATGTATAGAATATAAAATGTTAAAATTGATAATTATTATTATCATTATTATTATTACTTAAAATACAGGGCTTTCGCGCCATAATTTTGTACTTTTACTACAATGAAAGATGGCCGCCGTGGTAAAAGTTCTGCTCATAGCATTTCCAATCCAGAGGTATATAGAGATCAGTGTTTGGCACTGGCACTTGCACCTACATTGGCACCTATTGGAGACTCAGCTTAAGGTATCAAAATGTTTACATTGAAATGTTGACTGTTAACATTTTGAGTTTCCAAAAAGTTAACTTTTTGTAAATGATGTTGTATACCTAAAACTTATCAAATGTCCGACCAAAAATGTCACGTTTATGAGAAAAAAAGTTAACGTTTTTATAACTTTTCGAATTCCCAAAAATATATCAAATAGATGGCTTGCTTAAGTTATAAAATTGGCAACTATTTTGATTCAGAATATAATACTAAAAAGTTAACATATGTTTTACAACTTTTAAATAATAAATTTAATGTTAACTTGAAGACAAGTAATAGTTGATTTTGAAAATAAGAAATAGTTATCGCTTTATTAACAAATAGAGTCCGAAAAGTTCGCAAATTGATTACATACTTTTATTTATCGTATTAGTTGGTGTTTTCGGTACTTTTTGGAAAGGATAAAAAGGCAAAAATATAGGCGACGACGCTAAAGGCCAACGCAGAATAGATATGTAACCGGAACCGCAATCGTAACCGTAAGCGTAAGAATGAGTTAGAGAAGGATAAACAATATACCTATCCTTCTTTAACTCATTCTTACAGTTACGCTTACGATTGCGCTTTCGGTTACAGATCTATTTTGCGTTGGCCTTAAGCAATTAACTCTTTCTTTCAATCAAATCAGATATAACCTATAATAAATAAAGACATATTTTATTGCAATACACATTATGCATTTTGTATTCAATAATCATCTTTATGTATTATTATAGATTATCACTGACATGATTGAAAAAAGAGCTAATTGCTTAGCATCGTCGCCTACTTATTGAACCCTAAAACTGAAAATATTTAATAAATTTCATTTTTTATATGAGGCATTATTTCTGAACTGCCCCAGAAATAAAAAAAAGTTCTTGGATTTCCTTTATACTTTGGAAATATGTTACCCTAGTAGGTACAAGTTACTACACCAATTTACAGGTCCCAACCCCCCACCCCAATCAAAAGGGTGGGGGGTTGAGAAATTTCAGCTTCAACTCGAACATGCATTCTTTAAACATTTGTAGCTTCTACTTAAATTATTCAATTAAAAAAAGTAAGTAGTGTTTTAGAAAGGTTTTTTTGTGTACTTTTAAAATATTTTATTTATATAATAAAAAAAAAATTTTTTTAAATAAATAGTTTTTTGCAATTTTGTGCAAGTTCGGTAGTTTTTATTTTCTTTTTAATAATCTCAAATGAAAGCTTGAGAATTCCCCTAAGAGAAGATATAAGTCTGAAAATGGGCCGAAACAATTTGCCAAAGATATAGTGTAATAAGTAAAATTTGTCCGTCCGCTCGCGCACTCCAGCGCGATGAACAGTGGGATTTTTTTTCAACTTAGTATTGAAAATTGTCTAGAAACTACAAATTCTATCGGATGTTGATGTTCTTGATTTAAAATTACTAAGAGATCCATCAAAGTCGATTTTTGAATTTTTAATTGTTTATTTTTTTCTTGTTACTCAAAAATTTGACAAATTACAATATTTTTAGAAAAAATCATGTTAGTTTTTTTATTTTTCCATTACACATGATCGAAATCAATTTAAATTAGTCTAGTATGACCACCGGACAATTAATAAAGCATAATACAATTTATTTAAATTGTTGCAAACAATGTTAATTAACAAATAGATTACTTCGGACCTTCTTCATAAAAA